ATATATGTGTGTGTATCTGTTGCATGTCATATCTTCTATCGATATCTCTGTCACATTTATATCCTTACAAAATGGCGTAGAGCGAGTCTCTCTGTGTGTTAACAATCTTTGAAGTTGTTTGTGAAAGGCAACTAACATGGAAAACTCTCTCTCTCTCTCTCTGTCTCTGTGTATATTGTGGCACCTGGCTGGAAAAATACAGGTGGGCAGGTAACTCGGCTCGTTCGCTGTAAACGTGCTGTTGCTTGCTGTGCATGTCTTTGTGGTTTTTCGGGCGCTTAACTATAACAACAAAACTTAACACCTTTTGATCGGCAGGCAGCGGCAAAGGCGTTGATAGCCGCGCACACACAAACATATGTGTGTGTGTGTTGGTGTGTGTGTGCTGGTGTAGCTGTAGTTATGGCAGAGAATAAATTCCTTTAAGCTTGCTGGAGAGCTTGCACACATTCGTGTTGAAGCAGCTCGTTATTCATAAACTTAATGCCAAAAAGAGCATAATTTTCATTTTGCCTGCTTTTCGGTTTGCTTTACACTCCCTTTGGGCATAGCGCCCCTCCAATTTTACACATATACACACATATATATAAATATGTAGGTGTATGTGCATGTATTCAGTTTATATGCTAGGGTGTAAGACTAAAGCACACACGGCAAATAAAAGCCAAACATTGAGGCAGCAGCGGCAGCGGCAGCGGCAGCAGAAACACCAATAAACTTGTACTTGTGTGAGCCAGCGGTAAGTGGGAATTATATAAACATATACATCAGTGAACAAACACTTTCACACAGCCACACACACGCACACACATACACAGCCGTGTATGCCATATAACATGCCACATACACGAAGCCAGCAGCTGGCAGCTGGCAGCTGTTGCTGCGTCTTATCAGCGCTTAGATCGACAACGTGCCACATGCAACGCGGCGTATGAGCAATATGTAGAGAGAGTGAGAGACAGAGAGAGTAAGCAAAAGAGACAGGCAAAGACAGTGAGAGTGAGAGAGAGAGAGAGTAAAAGAGGGAAATAAGTAGAACGCCAAGTAAAAGACGACGTTGAGCATATGTATGCTTGTCTGTCCGTCTGCCCCTCTTTAGTGGGGCTTGTGGGCGCGGCTGGCAGCCAAAGTATGCCTAGTTGTAGTGGTACAAAGGTCAAATGCTCCGACAACTACATAAATGCGAGCTCTACAAATAGTGGGCCAAAAATCAAGCCTGATGATACGATAAGATGTGATTGGACGACGCAAAGCGGAGGCAGCGCGAGGCTAATGAAGTGATTTATGATTAGAGAGTCAGTCACAGTTCACAGTTCATAGTTCACAGTTCGCAGTTCGCAGTTCCCTAATAGCAACTATCGTATATTAGATATAGGGCTGCCAGAGCATCAATTTGGCTGATCAAATGAATCAGTAAAAGGCAGCAAAATGGTTTTCTTTTTTTTTGTAATTCTCTTTTCTCTCGTTTCTCTCTTGTTTCGCTTTCTC